CACACACACACACACACACACACATATATATATATATATATATATATATATATATATATATATATATATATATATATATTTAGAGCAGCATAGATCCATCCAGCTCTTATCTCAAATAACAACTTAAAAGGGACTGTTTGACCAACACAAGGAATGTTAAAAGATTCATGTTAAATAGATAAAAAAATTAAAAAAACAAATCATAACTACTGGTAAAAGTCCATTTTCTCCATCAAGACATTCATTTCTGTAGTTCACTGCTACCAGCAAACAGAAATATTTCTTCTCTTAAATGAAATAATAAAAAAAACGAAAGAATATTAATCTACAACCCAGTGTGTCTGAAGATTTGAATTTTTTAATATTTTTTATTGTTCAATATATATATATATATATATATATATATATATATATATATATATTGAACAATCAAAAAAAAATATATATATAATTTATTAGAAAATTATAGCATAAACATATGATAACATCACCACAGAAATAGCCATTCAACAAGTGATGGTTTTGAATGACATTCAACACCTTTAGGAAGGCATCTTTCCCTGAACTTACATGTAGTAAAACATTCCATTCTAAGATAAATGTCTATATAACTTTCAATCCCAATGTTTTTTTTTTATGTTGAACTGAGAATAATCAAGGGATCAAATATGAACTCAGATCAACGTTTTATGTATCAAACAGGATGTGTGAACTGTTCTCAATCAGATATCAACGCTTGACTACCATTTCCCAATCTCATGGTCCTGATGGTTAACAACAATTTCAATAGATCATTTGACTAAATGGAATAAACCTAACTGACTAAAATTCTGATGCTATCTAACGTTTTCCGATGACAAGAAGTCGAAAGATTATAGTGAATCAACTACTAGGTTTGTTTCTATGAAAAAAGGTCATGGTAGACGATTTTTCTCGCCAGAATCTATTTTAAACATTTATAACTCTACAATTTGTCTATATATTGAATATTGCTGTCACATCTGTCCTGGTGCTCCTGAGCGATATTTAGAGAAACTCTTGATAAAATGCAAATAAGGAGCTACATTATTATTGGTCCTGACCTGGCATATCGGCTTCAGTACCTTTTGTTTCCGCCATGACGTAACTCCCCGGTTCCATTTCTATAAATATGTTCATGGTAAATCTTATTGGTACATAGACTTTATGAGTTTAAGCGTATCATTAGATTGGCAGCTAGGTTTCATTATCGTACAATTGAAATGGCTAGATGTAACTGTAATTTATATGCTAATAGTTTCTTCTCTCGTAAAATGCTCGCTTGTGAAACTGTCTTTCGGCTTCTTGTTTCCCAGTTACCGTTGATCTTGAAATATTCAAATGCAATGGCTGTCTTCTTAATTTTTGTTCTTTTATTGTTTTCTATCTTGTATTTTTCTTTCCCTCATATTCTTTCACACCCAGTAAACCCTCATGCCTTAGTGGCTTCGATGGCATGCTTGGAGTGAAATGATTAAAATATGTTGTGTAAACTGGAGCTAAGCGGACGGCTTGAATAGTACATGCAGCAAAAAAGATATTTGCTTTAACGTTAAAAGAAATAATAAAGACGGCTAAGGAGATATCGGAAGAAGACATCATGCGTATAATGATTTCTTTTTTCTCATATTCTTTCACACTGAGTAATCATTTGCGTCTTAGTGCTTGTATTGCATTGCTTGAGATAAAATGACTAACACACACACACACACACACACACACACACACACACATATATATATATATATATATATATATATATATATATATATATATAAGCTATCGCACATTCAGTGGTGGTGTTAATAAAATCTAACCATGCGGAAGGCGATAGATGCAAATTATGTCTTGTAGAAAAATTGGCAGAAAAATAATAACACTTAAATAACCCTAACATATTAAACAAGAGAAATGAATTGATGGTCACATGTTGACATAAAATAAATACATGTTGAAATAGGTTGATCCAGATTAATTTCTACTGTAGATTATAAACGTTCTTTTTTTTTTGTAATTTTCTTCTGTTTACTTATCTTCTGTCGAGCATATATAATTTTTTTTTTATATATGAATGTCTTTTCATTAGCTCTGATTATTTTTTCTACTTATTTATGTCTTGATCATTATTTATAGTTATATGTACGTTAATTTAAATACAAAAATGAAAAACAAAACATTCATCTCTGCTTATTTTAAATGTAAAATGTAAATCCCGTTTATTTAAATACAATTTTTTAAACCAATAGTTTCCATATAATATATAAATTGCACCAACATTGCGGTAAAATTTAAATCATGTAATAGGCAGCGTCTACTCAGCACCTGAAGATTGCGTTGTTCGTGAAAACTCTGAGTCATTGCCTTATTAACACACACAAACAAACACACACACAAGCAAACACACACACACATATATATATATATATATATATATATATATATATATATATATATATATATATATATAAATGTAAAACAACGAAGAGAAAGCGTTCAAGACATTAATTTAAGACAGGGCTCAATACAAAAGTAGGGCAATCGTGATTTCCCACCTGATGAAACGTTAAAAAATTTAACGTTGAAACAAGATGTACAGTTTTGTAGTGGGTATGTGCATGTTCTAATGTAATACTGCATAATATATATATGTGTGTGTGTGTGTGTGTGTGTGTGTGTGTGTGTGTGTGTGTGTGTGTGTGTGTGTGGGTGTTTGCGTATGTTTATATATGTCTATATATATATATATATATATATATATATATATATATATATATATACTGCGTATGGTTGTAGAAGAATAAAAGAAAATGACAGAGTATTGCCGATGGAGGAAAAGAAAAGAAGTTATTTTAAAATAAAATTATCTGTATTGCGGGTAAAATGGATGAAAGTGAAAGATCACTACCGGGCGAAGGGAAGTACCTTGGGCATAGAGGAGTCATTTGTGTACAGACCTGTCGTTGAAGTCGGTGTAGGGTTAATTGACCCCTGCTGAATTTTTTAACTATCTGCTGCTTTGAATGCCGCGAGCAGGTCCTTTTAAGCAGTCAGAGTGGAATAGATGACTTAGTGTTTTGGTTTGTTTTTTTTCTTTTTTTTTTTTGTTGTTGTTATGATTTGTCCGCGTTTTGCTATCAGTGTTAACATTCATAACTGGCTTCGATGTTTAAATTGTATTTTATATTTTGGACGAATTGATTTTGTGAATCGGATGCAATACTCAGAATCCCTGTGCAGAGAGCCAACTTTATATATACTTACTTGAAGTGAAATGATTACAAAAATGAAACGTTTCTTCAAAATCTAAGAGATTATGACCCTCAACAGCATCCTTTTCATCATTATCTGTTAACTGTCGTGGTTTGTTGAGAAAGATTGCGCAATACATTCCTTTCGCCTTTATTTCTCCAAGGTTCAAAATTCATAGTCCTTCTACGAGATTACAACCTAAGGCGAGAGAATCCAGTCCACATTGCTATTCAACCTTCAGCTGAGGGCATGAATAGATTCATGCCTTTCGCAAGAAAAATCGCTTGAACAAGAGAACACTTCATATGAAACAGGAATTCGATAAAAATTACAAATAAATTATATTTTGATAAGTGTATAATGGGAGAGACCAATACAAGATAGATTTGCTTTTGTAGCCTTACAGCTGCATCTTGAGCATTATTAAAGAATTGAATAATCACTGGACTCGCCTTACTACTTTATCTAGCATTAATTTTAATTAGGTTGAATATAAAAGGCCACCGAGGCGAACCAAGAAAAATAATAGGCGAGGTTATCTTAAATTATTACTTGTTATTCTGAGGTTTACTTTGAATTCATTATTCACAACGCTAATTATCAGCATTCTACGTGTTTATCATGTCTGTTTCGCCAACGCCTTTGTCTTCCGCCATCAATGCGTGTACTTAAAAGGTAGTCACGCTTCTATGTATTTTAATTTGTATCTTCTTTCAAAACCGTGTGCCCGGTAAACGGTAGCCAAATTTATTTTAGTGATGATTTCCAGGACTGTGTGCCCGTAAAAAAATAGTCAAGGTTCGATTTATTTTAGTGCTTTCCAGGACTGTGTGCCCGGTAAACGGTAGTCAAGGTTCGATTTATTTTAGTGCTTTCCAGGACTGTGTGCCCGGTAAACGGTAGTCAAGGTTCGATTTATTTTAGTGCTTTCCAGGACTGTGTGCCCGGTAAACGGTAGTCAAGGTTCGATTTATTTTAGTGCTTTCCAGGATTGTGTGCCCGGTAAACGGTAGTCAAGGTTCGATTTATTTTAGTGCTTTCCAGGACTGTGTGCCCGGTAAACGGTAGTCAAGGTTCGATTTATTTTAATCGTTTTCTTCTAAAACCGTGTGCCCGGTAAACGGTAGTCAAGGTTCGATTTATTTTAGTGCTTTCCAGGACTGTGTAGCCGGTAAATTGTAGTCAAGTTCAGATTTATTTTAATCGTGTTCTTCCAAAACTCTGTGTCCTGTAAACGGTAATCAAGCCTCTTCATTTATTGCTTGTCTTCCTCCTCGACGGTGTTGCTAGTCAAATGGCAATCAAAGTTATTTTATTCGTTATCAAGTTGTTATCAAACGCTGAAATAACTTCGAAACATACAACATGTTATACATTTCAGAACATATAAAAGTCAAATTAACCAAAGGGAACAAAGATAGGTATGCAGTATGGTTGCGAGATATGAACACACAATTAATAGAAAAAAAGGCTTGATGACTTCCTGTGATGTGGCATCAACACATAACGAATGAAAGCTTTATAGAAAAGTTCAAAATGAAAGTGAGGAGAGAAGGAATTGTCTATTAGGACATTCTGAATGGTCTCTTGAAGATGAAGTGTCAAAGACGACTCTGTGTTATGCGGGAAGGAGTAGTAGATATCATTTTATGGATCCATTTACAAAACCCGTGGTATATTAGTGGTATTACGGACACACTAAAGCAGAGTATTGCCCTAGAATCTATCCTGGAATGATAATAGGGGAGAACTGCGAAAAGATCTATCTATCTATCTATCTATCTATCTATCTATCTATCTATCTATCTATCTATCTCAGTTTCTTCCTTATCTATCTATCTATCTATCTATCTATCTATCTATCTATCTATCTCAGTTTCTTCCTCTATCTATCTATCTATCTATCTATCTATCTATCTATCCAATTTCCCTCACTCTTTGATCTGTACCGCAATTTATCTAGATACATGTCCTCCCTCATCTTTCATTGAAACTCGAATTATATATATATATATATATATATATATATATATATATATATATATATATATATATAAAACAAACACTAATATTCCATGATTAAAATTTATTACATTAGAATCGTAATCGCGATCCAATATAATAAATTATAACCATGGAATATTAGTATTTGAGCCTTTTATATTTGATTCTTACTCTGTCCTGAACATTGAGTTCTACCTGCATTCTATCCTCTTAATAAGAACTCATGCAACAGGAATTTATAGAAACAAGGATCTTTTCATTCAAAAACAGGTTCGGGGTTTTTGTATATTATTTGAATTGTTTGCGACGATGGATTTCTCGCCAATTAAATCATTAACCTTTGTATTTGTTTTTTGTATGAATAATTCATGAATTTGTAAATTAATTGCACCTTTATTGAAATTGAAATAACTGATCCAAGTGCAAATTTTGAATAATAAGTGCGACATTACTGTAATTATTGAACAATAAAGTTCATGCCACTTTGACAGAAAATTTACCAGTAAAAAAGAATTCGCTTATCACCATATTTGTATAAGAACGCACAATTGTAAAATTTAAATTCAAACTCAGCGTTGCGACAGCACGCTCCAAAAACAATAACTCATTTCTAATAGCATTTTTCGGATTACAACAGTACATATATTTTCATTGTCCTCTTATTACTGAGAGAAAAAACAAGAACAAAATCTATTCCATGCCTGAGGATGTCTGTATGAAGAGACGAAAGCTTGTAAAAATAATAAGAACTCATGCAACAGGAATTTATAGAAACAAGGATCTTTTCATTCAAAAACAGGTTCGGGGTTTTTGTATATTATTTGAATTGTTTGCGACGATGGATTTATATATATTGACCTCTAATTTTAGCTATATATATATATATATATATATATATATATATATATATATATATATATATATATATATATTAATTAATTAGAAAGCAGTATTTGCAGTGGGGTTCTCAATATCAAAGATGGAGATAGAACGATAATAGATTTAATACAAAAATAGAAAATTAAATAATAAATCGAGAACGTATATAGGGGCGCGACGTACAAACACATGCACATAAATACACACACACACAAAGTTAGACGTGCCCGTGCGAGCATGTGTATGCGTGCATGTTTAGATGTATGTATTCATGCAGGCTTGCACATGCTTAAGCACACACATAAACACACCGGCACAAACGTTCATACGCACAAAAATTCAACCATAACCTAAACTAAATGGTCAAAACAATAGCAATAATCCAAATTTAAGTATAACAATTAACATAAACCAATGAAAAAATATAAAAGGCACTGTTCTTTCCCACAACTAAACAAAAAAGACTTATCAAACACTAAGTAAAATTAGATAATATAATGAATTATTATACATAATACAACATACTAAATAATAACATACAACCTACTACTAATAATAATGCAACCTACTAAAAATACATATGCCGTTAACACTAACACACACACAAACACACACACAAACACAGAAATGCATACACGAATACACCTGTGGATTATTGCGTGCGTACATATTTGTATGTATGCGTATATGCATGCACATACATAGGCACATACATATACACACAGCTACATAAACATACATTCACACACAAAGCATGAAACAGCCTGTCGCCACTGAGTGTTGACTTCAATGTTCACTTTTATATTTATATTTACATACGCTCTATCTCTGATGTTGAGTACTTTATCCCATAAATATAGCACACCTTAAGACTATATTTATTCATATATATATATATATATATATATATATATATATATATATATATATATATATATATACACTTTTTTTTTTCACTATAACTTTATAGGGTTTGTTTTCTTTATTCCGGACTTCTTCAAGTACCGGTTCTCGTACCATCACCGGATGTTAAGCAACGTTGAGCCTGGTCAGTATCTAGATGGCGGACCGCTTGAGAATGCCAAGTACTGTAACCTTGGAAACGTTAATGCAGTAATGGATAATGGCTCGGAATTTTTAATCAGAGAGCCGAGTTCTAATTTCAGTTGGGTTCGTTATATTCATTTACATTCAAAATACAAAGTAAGAAATTCATGGTAAGAATATGCCTCTTCAACCCAAAACTATGAGTTAATTCAGACTTGTATCACTCAACTATTTTTATTATCTAAAAAAAAAAATTATAATCCAAAAATATTTTCTGGCTTTAAAAATTTATAAATCTTTATCTATAAAAGGCAGGATGTGTGTGTGTGTGTGTGTGTGTGTGTGTGTGTGTGTGTGTGTGTGTAACGAATGCACGGTGCAATTTTCGACGGATTTGCACCAGAATTTACTTGCACATGCTCCAAGTTAGCATGAAGGCCAAAACCGACTTTGTATTTCCCAACTCCCATCGATAGTGGAAATAATCGATTTTTTTCAGGCTTCTACGGCAGTTTTAGTGTAGTTTGCGGCCATTTTCTACTGGCCAGAGTGAGAGCCAATAGCTGGCTGCCACGAATACGCAGGAAGATTCTATTGGCCAGCGTGAGAGCCAACAGCTGACTGACACGAATTTTAACTAGCATGCTAGCATGCAAAAAAAATCGATAGCTGCATTCGTCACAAGTGGGAAAAATTTAAATCTGCATGGCACTTTGCTCCAATTGGCTCATTTGCTTGCTTAAACTCAACGTCGATTCTGATTCCGCAGAACTGGGTTCGGTGTGAAAAAGTATTTGTTGTTAACATTCTTTTTTCATTCGGTTTTTCCAGATACGAGTCCTTTTTTAAAGCTGATCGTTTCGTGTTCATTTTGTTTAGTTCTTTTTCCGTAACAGATTAGTATAGAGCGTAGAAAAAATTCGCAATGTGAGATAGGCAAGAAGTAAGGCATGTAGCAACATCAGCACGGCAAAGGGCACTCCTTTATAGACAAGGAAGGGAAAAAATATTTTAAGTCAAGTGATAGCGATTGCTGTATGAGTCGTACGATTTTTGAAACAAGCTAGTAGTTGATAAACCGTAGAAAACGATTCAATCAATCTTCTTCTTTCTGCTATCATCTATACATGTACGTATCTCAAAACATTCATCTATCTATCGATCGATAGATCCATCTAATTTCTCTCTCTCTCTCTCTCTCTCTATCTCTCTCTCTCTCCGATCTGTACCGTTCTATATCTTCCAATCTATGTATATTTTTGTCCCTCAGTCTTACAATTGGTCTACCTATTTACATTCTACGATTATCGTCATTTTTCTGTAAATACCCTTCATCTCTTGTATCATCATGTTTGATGCTAACCTCCAAGAGATCCACCTGTTGCCCCTTCCCGGGTTAATATTTTCCTCTGACATAAAGTGGAAAGATTATATTGAATCGATTACTAAGGAAAGTTTCTTCACTGTGTCATTCTAGACAATTTTTTCTCTCCAGAATCTATCTTACATATTCATGACTACCATTGGCTCAGGCTGTGAATATTGATGGCACATCTGTTCTGGTTCTCCTGTTTATGTATTTGGAAATCCTTGATAAAATCCAGAGAAGAATTTGCAATTTTATTGGTCCTGACCTGGTATGTCACTTTTCCACTGCCATAATGTAGATTCTCTGTGACTTTTCTATAAATACTTCCATGGTAACTCTTCTGACAAACTTTCCCCTAGAATATGGGGACTAGTTAGTATTTTCATAGAGACAAAGAGGTATTATGGTGGTTGTAGTAAGAAAGGTACGTATGAATGTGTTGTTTTGGTGTAAGGAATATTGTTTCGTACGATTGGGTCAGTGCTTGTGGCTAGCTAAGTTATAGTTAAGACAGAAGAAGACCGTACTTTCCCCAATCCCCCCCTTTTCGGCCTTGTGCCACATTTCTGTATTAAACAGAATAAATATCACTTTCCCCTAGAATTGTTGATTTATTTCCCCCCTCACAGAGAATGAATTGTACATATGGGGACTAGTTAGTATTTTCATAGAGACAATGAGGTATTATGCTGGATGTAGTAAGAAAGGTACGTATGAATGTGTTGTTTTGGTGTAAGGAATTTTGTTGGTACGATTGGGTCAGTGTTTGCGGCTAGCTAAGTTATCGTTAAGACAGAACAAGACCGTCCTTTCCCCAATCCCCCCTTTCGGCCATCTGCCAAATTTCTGTGTATTTTACAGAATAAATATCACTTTCCCCTATGGTACCTAGACTTTATGAATTTCAGCGCAGTACTAGATTGGCGGTAAGGTCTTATCCTTTTAGAGCTGAAATGGCCAGATATAACTATAACTTTCATGCTAACAGTTTCTTCTACCGCACCTCTCGATTCTCTTCTGGCTTCTTGTTTCCTAGTCAGCTTTGGTCTACAGAAATGTAAATGTAATATCAATCGTTATCTTCTGTCTTCTTAATTATTGTTCTTTTATTATTCTCTTTCCTTTATAGCAATTTTTATTATAATCTCTAATACTCAGTAACACCTTGCATCTTAGTGGCTTTATTGCCTTGCTTGGGTTAAATAGATAAAACAAAAAATAATCCCTTTGTCTGTCTCTATCATACCGTTCTTATCCTTTTGCTTGTAAATCTATCCATCGATCACGCTAACTATAGTTATCGATCAATCAATCTGTCTCCGTAATTTTCCTTGTAATCCACATTCATTTGCTTCAGTCTCCTCTTCGGCTACTTACAATCCCTTCTTTATTCCTCCATTGTGCATTGATTGCTTTATTCCCGAGACGAATAACTTTGGCCCAGAACAGGTCACCAATTGATGATATATCACTTGTCTCTCACAGATATGTATCGGTTCTGATTGATAAGTTTCCACCGATCGATACACTTTGCCGACAAGAGTCCACTTTCTTCTTCGACCCAATCTAATCTTTCCAAAACACAAATAATCCTGTATCTGCAAAGATTTAAGAAATATTAATATAAGAATTATTTGATGACTGTTTAGCTTTCATGTAGTGAATATAATAATTCAATATTAAGTTCTAAATATATTCAAAACGGACAATGTAATGATTTTATTCCTTTAAATATGTTTTTTAATTGTTTCAAAACTAACTGTATAGTAAGTACACTACATTTCTCTATATCAAGAGAAAGATAGGGTCCTTTAAAAATCCCACTGTTTATTAGTGTCATAACTTTGTCTGATCAGAAAACGAACAACTGTGAAATTACCATTCATAGCTTGTGAGTAGCAATAAATTGCGTTAAACTTAGTGACACTTTTGGATTTAGAGTGAAAGGTGTGATTATTTTGTTGCTTGCAGTTTCTTGTTTCTAGTGGTCTATCGGCAATCCCTCAGTAGGGATCCCAATGCTGCATCACAGACTTAAAAAAACGACGAATAATTTTCTTCTGCTTTTCGGAAAGTACTGAGTCAGTGGTGAAAAAAGTTCATCTGGAGCGCTGAGTTCTATCACTAAGATGAGAATATTAATGAATATTAAAGTGGATAATAATAAAAATGGCAAATAAATCCCTTTTTTTTTTCTTTTTCTTTTTTTTGTTCGGGTGGCGGGATCATATTATTTTCAAGGGGAGTGACATCGTATTTATTGAGAAAGCGACAAGGAGTGGCAGGTAGAGAAAACGGATCAAGTAGTTACACATCAGCACTTTTCCAATCTGGCCAAAGAATCTGGGAAAGGAAGGTATCTTCACTCATCTATTGCTGTAACAGCACTGACTGCCTTAGCGTTTTATTTTTATCGGTCTTATTTCAAAAACTTAATGAAAGACAGTACATCATTATCGGGACTCATTAGAGAAATAGAGTAGCTAATTAACTTAAAAGTATATTATGGTAATTTGAATTTGTTTTTATGTTGACATTTTAACACTAATTCATTCCTCTAATTCAATAGTTGGCATTGATTATTGCATTTTATTATTCTAATCTTTTCTTCTAAACATAAGTTACACCAATCTCCATGGCTATTAGAAGTATGTACGTTGTAGTTTTAGCTACTTTATTTACATAATCATCACTCCCTTCTAATTCTTCAACTATCGACAGTATAACTAATTCTAATTTCTATATTGTATTTCCCTCTCTATATAAACTCTATACACTATATTTATAAACGTTCCCCTACTTCAATATCTCTCCAAATCTCTTTCCGTTAATCCCTTATATCCCTTTATATATTTTAAATTTATTTTTATTCCTGTTTTAAATATTTCATTCTCCATATAACCCCAAATTAATGTCATGAGGTTAATATTTGTTTTTTTTTTTTTTTAAACTTCTTCCCTTTGAAATAAATACCCTTCACCCTCCACTGACCCCTGACTTGTGTCTTTCGTCTGACTGAAACATTGAAATGGATGAATTCTGAATTAGTTTTGCGATAGGTTGATATTTTTTACCTTTCACAGATAAATTCTACTTCCTGTCCCCCACCCACAAAAAAAAAACTGTATAAACCCGAACTCTGTCCATACCGGGCTTGATAAGACAGGCGGCCGATATCTTCGTCTGTCCGAAATAGGCTATTCTCCATATGAGGTGATTTTTATTGTATTGTTTATTAATAAATACTTCTATGAGATCGCTAAAATAGAGCATAGCGCGGTGAAAAAGACGCCAAATTTGACGAAAACAAAATTGTATCGTCTAAATGCTTATGTTATTATTAAGAGGAAAGACCATGTTTTTTTATAATTTATTTTTTTAAATTTTTCCTTCTTTTTAGAACATTCTAAATTTTGATTAAAAACCTTGTTTCTCTTTGTATCACCGGAACTAGTAAAATAACATATAAAAAGTATCAAGTTCTCCACCGCCTTAACCGTTGGTTAGATCCAGTGGCAAGAACCAAAGAGTGTGAGTTCAATACCCGGTTAAGGCAGTGGAGAACTTGGCGAAGGGAATTAATAGTCGATAACTGATAACTGACATCCATTAAAACGATGTCACGTGAAACTAGAACAGTCTACCCCAGTGAGCGAAATAAAGAGTTCAGTTCGACATTCCAACCAGCTGAAGAAGGCCGGAGCGTACAACGGTCAAAACGTTGTAATAAATATGGCGAAAAAGATGAGGACAATAGTCTGAATAATGTAAATAGTGTACATAAAACCTCAGAAATATAGACAGATTTTTTATATTATCATAACGTTTTAGTGGTAATAATGATTTACTCACACAAGTCCTACTAATGAAGACATAGATGTAGGGGAAAGAGGTGGGGCCTTTCCTTTCTCAATGTTATTTTTGCGTACGTGAATATAATGAACCAGACACGAATTGAAACTCGCCTCCCCGATTTTTAATTGCGAGCCTTTATTCATTACATCACGCG